AGAACGGCAACGGTTGGAAGGGACCTCAGGAGATCATCTAGTCCAACCCTCTTGCTAAAGCAGGTTCACCTAGAGCACGTTACACAGGACTTCGTCCAGGTGGGCTTTGAATATCTCCAGAGAAGGAGAATCCACAACCCCCCTGGGCAGCCTGTTCCAGTCACCCTCAAAGTAAAGAAGTTTTTCCTCATATTCAGCTGAAACCTCTTATGTTTCAGTTTGTGCCCATTGCCCCTTGTCCTGTCGCTGGGCACCACTGAGAAGAGTCTGGCTCTGTCCTCGTGACTTCCACCCTTAAGTTATTTGTATGTATTGATGAGGTCCCCTCTCAGTCTTCTCTTCTTCAGGCTAAACAAGCCCAACTCTCTCAGCCTTTCCTCACAGGGGAGATGCTCCAGTCCCTTTATCATCTTTGTTGCCCTCCTCTGGACTCTCTCTAGGAGTTCCTCATTTTTCTTGAACCGGGGAGCCCAAAACTGGACACAGTACTCCAGGTGGGGTCTCACCAGGGCAGAGTAGAGGGGGAGGATAACCTCCCTCGACCTGCTGGCCACGCTCCTCTTTAATGCACCCCAAGGATGCCATTGGCCTTCTTGGCAACAAGAAGTTTTTTTAGTAGGGCCAGCTGTAACAGGACAAAGGGTAATGGTTTTAAACTAAACCAGGGTAGGTTTAGACTGGATATGAGGAAAAAATTCTTTACAATGAGGGTGGTGAAACACTGGAACAGGTTGCCCAGAGAGGTAGTGGAGCCCCCATCTCTGGAAACATTCAAGACCAGGTTGGATGGGGCTCTGAGCAACTTGATCTAGTTAGCGGTGTCCCTGCTCACTGCAGGGGGGTTGGGCTAGATGACCTCTAGGGGTCCCTTCCAACCCAAAACATTGTATGATTCTATGAGTCGTCTATGATTCTCTCTCTCTTGCCTTACATGACTTTTAAGAGTTACATAATTCTTCCAGCTACAGAGCTGGAAGAGAAGTGTACTGGAGGATGTTAAAACTTGGTCTGTGATGCAGAATTACAAATAATACAGTTTAGTAATGCCACAATATTTAAAAAAAAACCCCATCTGCTAAGCCAGTGACTGCTAGGTTTGCAGGTGCAACAGGCTGATCCATTAAAGTTTATTCTGTTTTAGAGTAGTAGTTGATTTTTTCTTTTTTTGAAACATAATAGAGTAAAATTTGGGTTTTGCTGCTTCACTACAGTTGGGTACCAGAGCCCAGTCAGAGAGAATTCGTACGTACAACTTCACCCAGGACAGAGTCACTGACCACAGGATCTCATATGATGCACGCAATATCAAGGTAATGGTTGCTTATGGAAGTTTTAGAGTTAGGTACTTATGTGTACCATAAGAAGAAGAAATTAACTTGGTGAAAATTATTTAATATGTATCGGAACTCAGGTAGCCAGTTGTGCTCTGACAGAAAGTCATAGATTTAGAAAGCTTAAACTTTCTTTTTTGCCTGGCTGTAGGGTAGCATTAAAGATGACTGGCACAGGATGTAACTCACTGGCCTGCTTCTCTGTGTATTTTTCTCCTACTATACAAGTGAAAAATAATCAAGAGCGTAGTCCTTGTTTGTGAACTCCTCAAGTCCCTTGGCCAAAGTGGACAAGTGAAATTTGAGATGCTTGAAGCTCAGTACAGCCAAAAGAAAAATCTGACAAGAAGGACTTTTTTTTAGTTAAGCCAAGTCTTTCCGTCTCCCTTTAATGCTGAAGAAAGAGAAAACCTTTTCTTTATATTTGCCTTGCAAGCCACAGTTAAAAGAAACTGAATCTGAATGCTTTCATTTTAAGATTACCCGACATCTTATTTCTGAGTGAATCTCTGCATATGGCTTGAGTCTTACTGATTTGTTTTTCTGCAGGGAAACAGATTTTTGTGTATTAAATTTATGGAAAATGTTTTGAATTTTAGGAAAAAGTTTAGGGTGACCCTTCACTATTTTGGCTTAGGTTATCCAGTTTACTTAAGTGCTGTTGCACAGAAGCAACACTTCTCAAACCGTACTTAGAGACGTCCTGGGTAACTTCAGAGAACAGAGGGCATGCTGAATATGGAGTGGTTCGTATTTAACAGAGTGGGGAACAGATACACAAATAGCCTGGTGGAGGAGAATGGGAAGAAGTTCCATGACTGTATAAAAATGACTTCTGCTAGTCAAGCTTTTCAGTTACTTAGTGTTGGGAACTTGTTACTTTTCTTGAGTGAAAGTGAAACCGTAAGCCACCTAACAAAAGTTAATTAAGCTTCGCTTGCCAACAAACTAGTTCTTGGCATGAGCAGCAGTATTTGCATTAGATCCTTCAGCCCTTGATTGTTCTTGCTAGGGGATTTTCGTGTAAATGCATGGGTTACAGGAAAGCATGGCAGGAAGGCACCGGCAGCTCCTTTTGTGGCTGCCAGATTCAATGGGGTTTTCAGAGGCAGCCAGCCGAAGTCCCGCTGCCGTGTACCAGGCCATGTTGAGCTCACACGGGGGAGCCATGAAGACTCCAGGCAAGGCGCATTCCAGGAGCTCCTTGTTTGAGTAGTCAGCGTTTCAGAATAATGCTGATGTACATTCAGTAACACTTTTGTCTGTTGTTATTTCTTCCATAGGAAATTCTAAGTGGGAAAGAAGCACTGGATAAGTTAATCAACAGACTACTGGAGTTTGCAGAGATAGAGGCCGTCACCGAGTATCTCGAAAATTTGCAGGCTTTAGAAGGAGGAGGCTGCTGAAGACCTTGTGTAGAGTTAAAGCATAAATGTGTTCAGTAGCGAGATAAAATGGATGCATTTGTTAGACGATAGATTGATTAAAATCTATGCCTCTGTTTTTCAGTGTGTGACACTACTCTCTTTTACATTTTGGTGCAAATGGGTTGAATTTATTACAGCAGCCATAGCAGAAAAGAACAAGCTTGGAGTACTGGAGTACTTGGAGTACTGCACATACCTCCTGTCTTGGCAGCATGGCTTTGTTAAGCCAGTCCTTCTCTTGGCCATATTGCAGCTGGAAAGATATAGAATTGTGGTGATGGAGCAGAAGAAATATCAGATGGTGCATGTTTTGTTTTGGGGGTGGGAGATGTTCCTCCCCAGGTGAAAGAACCTAAGCTCCCCAGACATAGTCTGGAATCTGGCCTCACGAATACTGCTTATTTTTATCCATTGATTGGGCGAGCTTCCTAAATGTAGTCCCTTAAAAATAGCTCTGTATTATGACACTTTTTTCTTTTTTGAGCAAATATACAAAAGCCAAGGGAGCAATCTCGGGCAAGGGGCCAGAATCTTAAGAGAGAAGCCTGTCAGCTTCCTTCCAGCTGTTCTTGGGTCAGCTTAGGGTGGGTCTGGACCAGATGCTGCAGTGGAGTGAAAAAGTACACGTTCTCCTTTCAGATTAAGTTGATGAGATCCTGGAAGGAGTTTAACAGTGATAACAGGCAGCTCCTGCTTCCTGGCAAAGAAAACGAGTTCATAGCGTAGATACATTTTAGCAAATTGGGTAGCTCTGGAATTGAGTTTCTGCCTTGACGTCTTTGGGAACGCATGCCCATCTCTGAGGGCAATCCAGATACCTACAGAACACACTTAGCCTTACTAGGACTTGCGTTCATGTTTTCACCTAAGTGCAGGCTGTGCAGTGTGCTGACAGGCACCCCTGTGTTGGCAAGTCCATTGATGGGCCGAGGCCAACTGTATGAGGTTCAACAAGGCCAAGTGCTGGGTCCTGCACTTGGGTCACAACAACCCCATGCAATGCTACAGGCTTGGGGAAGCGTGGCTGGAAAGCTGCCTGGCAGAAAAAGACCTGGGGGTACTGGTTGACAGCCGGCTGAGTATGAGCCAGCAGTGTGCCCAGGTGGCCAAGAAGGCCAACAGCATCCTGGCTTGTATCAGGAATAGCGTGGCCAGCAGGGCCAGGGAAGTGAGCGAGCCCCTGGACTCGGTGCTGGGGACTGCACCTCGAATACTGTGTTCAGTTTTGGGCCCCTCACTACAAGAAAGATGTTGCATTGCTGGAACGTGTCCAGAGGAGAGCAACCAAGCTGGTGGGGGGTCTGGAGCACAAGGCTTACGAGGAGCAGCTGAGGGAACTGGTGTTGTTCAGCCTGGAGAAGAGGAGGCTGAGGGGAGACCTTATCGCCCTCTACAACTGCCTGACAGGAGGCTGTAGGGAGGTGGGGGTTGGCCTCTTCTCCCTGGTAATGGACGATAGGATGAGGGAAAACGGCCTCAGGTTGTGCCAGGGGAGGTTTAGGTTGGACACTGGGAAAAATTTCTTCACCGAAAGTGTTGTCAAGCATTGGAACGGGCCTTGTCATTGATTTATATTTACACATTTGTTTTGTAATCATGAATGATACAGGACTGAGAAAACGTCGGTTATTTTAAGAAAAAGAATTACTCCAATGCTGAGTTCTTCTAAACAGCATAGTTTTTACTACTGTATGTATGACAAACAGCAGTTTTAACTCTATTCAGCTATATTAAGACAGACAGACTTTGTTCCAGGAAGAAAGCAGGAAAAGCGTACTCAGTTTCTCAATACTGGAATTATTTTCCAGTTCTTCTGTGCGTTTGCACATTCTTATCAGCAAGATTTGTCGGACAATTTTTGACTTGATTCCTGCACTTCAATTACAAAAGCTTTTGGGTTTTGGTTGTTGGAGGTTTTTTTTTGTTTTGTTTTGTCTTGTTTTTTAAATCTGTAGCTCTGTTAGTCGACCAGGAAACATGTTACCACATGACTTAGTCATTTGCACATTGAAACTTTGACTACTTGCAGTAAGCAGTTCAGAGAAAAAAAGAGCTCCACGAAGAGGTAAATCAGCTTCTACTTGTGCCGTGCTGCCGGACTGGCGATGGCGACTACGATCTGCTGTGATAGAAGAGTATCCAGTTAGCCTGCTTATCCCATTAGCGTGCTCGCTTTTGTGATGCAAGCCAATTTATTTAATTATATATCCTGAAAAATCTTAGAAACTTCTTTCTTACAAAGTACACCTTTTGAGTAATTGGATTGTACTTCTAGGCTCCCTTAATGCCTGTGAAGTTATTTACTGTGTAAAAATATTGAAACATTTTTAAAAATTGCGCCTCGCTGATGTTACTGGGAGACAGCTGGTCATGTTTTGACTGCAGGACCTTGCAACGAAGTTAATTAATTTTCTGTAGCCCTTCTTTGTCATTGATGGCGCGGAGTGGTGAGAAAGGGGAAAGCAGATGGCAGCTGCCCTTGATTTTAGATGTCCCCAGTGCAGGCGTTGAAATGTAGCAGCTAAATCCCTCCTCCCGGCCTGTTCCAGGGCATTCTGAAGGATCTTTGTCTCATTAAGCTTATCCTACAATTACTCATGAATTGCATGTATTACTCATTACTGTATATGAAAGCAAGATACAGCTACACTCAGTTACGAGAGAGACTTTGATACAGAGCAGAAGGGGGCTTCTACTGGAGGCGCTGCCCACCAGGCTCTTGTTTTACTAAAAGCAGATATATTTGCTTCTCCTCATTGACAAAACATTATCTAAAGCTGTTTTCTCCTACATTACAAAATGCCATTTGAAGCTGGATTTTATTCCAAGTTCTTCCACCACAGTCCTTCTGCGGGATGTAAGAGCTGAGAGATTGTGGTGGGGTTTGGCCATGGGCTGGCGCTTGTCCTTTTGGGAGTGGGGGTGGGATATGGGGTGTAATGATGCCACCTCTGAGGCATTTTCAGGATGGAACACCCAGAACGTGAGCTTTTCAGTTCCTACAAGCAGCCCCGATTTTCAGCGGTGAAGCCACTAGCAGGAAAAACGACACACCTATTTTGGTTTATATTTACCCTGGGCCCCGTTTTTAACAGAACATGCACCCATAAATCTCTTGGGTTGCCCTAAACCCCTTGAACAGATGAACAACAGTAACACAGCTTGTTCAAATGAAAGCTTTATTTGGTATGTTCCTATAAACTCCACTTCAAGAGCTTGCAATATTTTGTAATTGCAACGGAGAAGCCGTTAAAGAGAAACCAGCAGGTTAACTTTGCAGAGAATACTTATAAATTAAGCCAAGCGCTTTTCAATCGCCCCGCTGTTCTTCACCGTATCCTCAGTTAAGCCATTAAAATCTACTCTTTTTAGCCTGTGGGCTGCAGAACGCTGTCTGCTGGTCTTTAACATAGGCTATTTCTGCTTTTAGCAGTAAAAATCAAATCTGCGTTTGCTGACATTCTCTGGCAATCCTCTCGGGCAAATCCAGCTTATTATTTGCAACACTTTTTGCTTTGTACAGAAACTTTTATTCAAGCTATACCCCGAAGCGCCTCACAAAGCTAGCTTTGTTAGTCACACAGACGGTTAACACGATTTCTAAGTTAAATAATTTAGCAGGTAGAAGGTAAGAGGACTGAAGAGGTAGATACAGGAGAGACTGAAGAGATATGGCTGACGAAACGGAACCGAGGGGTTGCTGCGGCAGATAGCGGAAGGTACACAGACAGCTTTTGTACCAACAAGCGGAAGGATTGAAGGGCTGCCAACGCTGTAGGAGGAATGGAATGAAATCTGTCTCAGGAGAACGAGTGATCAAGAAAACCGAAAGAGCATGTGGCGTAGTCGGTCTTGAAATAGCTCGCACGTTGTTTGAAAATAGGTAAGGTTGCACTTCTTCAGGGCGTGACGCAAACAGGCAGCAGAAGCGCTCAGCCTAAGTTGGGATCTGGAGACACGGCGGCCCATATCAGGCAAGGTGAAGCTCTCAGAAGATCTCGATAGGGTGGGGGATAAGGTGAAGGTGGACCCCAGAAACACGGCACAGCAGTGCTAAGTAGATTTGCATATATAGGAATGATGGAGGAAGATGGTTTGAGGAAGACACTGATAGTAAGGAAAGCACTAAAAAGGGGAGGCGCAACTCAAAAAGCAAATCAAGGAAACCAAGCAGTGTGACATAGTTTTTTACTCCCTTTCTGAGATGCCAAAATATGCATGGAAAGAACATCTGGGGTGGGGGGAAGGAGAAATGCTTTTATACTTGCACAAGTTACTGAATTTAACCCAGATCCATGTCATGACCAGCCCTCCCACCTTCTAAATCTGAATACTGGGTTTGGATGATGCTGCAGCACAGATTTTCTCTATGAGGGTCAATCAAAAAGCAAACTTGATCCTATTGGAAAAGTCTGGATTTCAATCTACAAATTCCCAAGTGAAGGGTTAAAATTTGGCTTAGCCTAAACAGGAACAAGGATTATTCTATAACTTGGGTCAAATCGAGCAGATCTCTGCACAGCTCCTGGCATAACAAATGCCCAACAAAATCTTTTTTAGTATATGCAATATGTTTGCTTCAAAAAGCATCACCAACTTCAGGCAGGCCCTGCTGTAAAAGCAGGCACGCCAAAGATAAGCATCCCGTAGTGTGAAGCTCTTTCTAAACAGACAAGACAGGTGAAAGATGAGGCAAGGAAACAAAAACACAGAGCAGTGAATTGACTCGCTCGAAATCACACAGAAGAAATCACCATCAGAAACTGCAATGACTCCCCCTTTCTCTCCAACTCTCCTCCTCCTGTTGCTAATCACGTCTGTGACAGCCTATAAAACCCAGGATTGCAGTCCTCCCTCAAGGAGCTTGAAATAAAAGCAGGCAGGCAGATAAAAACATGCTGCGTGATAGAAAATGGATCGGTCAGAAAACAAAACACTGCTTCTGAAAACACTGCTCTTCTGAAACAGCAGAAGGAACACTCCTTTGTCAAAAGCCAACGCAGCCCAATGAAGGATTAGCAGACAAGGAGCGTAACTGTGGTAATACCTAGGGGATTCCTACAGCAAATTCCAAAGGCAGAAGATTTT